GTGAAGAGGATCGTGATGCCATCTTCAAAGCATATATAGAGGCGCTCAATGAGGATCCTGTGCAATACAGGCATGTTTAATCCATCTCTTGCCAATTTCAGTTGCTTTTACTCACTTTTCTGTGTAAAGGCACACAAATAATCATTTATATGTGATAGCATTGACGATATATCTTCCTTTCAGTAAGGTAATCGTTGATAAAGTATATATTTAATTACCATTAAGAGTTTCTTGGAGGGTGGAACCAAAATCCAAGATGAATAGGCTTAGCTGTATTATGGAACTGGAGAAATGCAGGTGTTTGGTTTCCCAATGAGTGAAAGCACTATTCAGAACAGAGAATTAGCTGCAGAACCCTTGATCAACTCTCACTTACTAAGATATAGTTACTGTTATACTCAATCTGCCAACATCTTCCTTTGCTTACGAAGAGGAATCCATTAACGAATAGAATAAAGCAGCCGTATTCTGAAGTGGATATTTCTATCATAGATTTTTATCCAGACATTACATTGGAATTTTGCATGAGATTGATCAATTCAAATTATACATGTCTTCACTTGTAGAGTGTCATGATCCAATTTAGGGCCATGACTGGCATCCAGTAGGCTCTTCCTACCAAGTGAACCATCTCGACCTGGCTAAGGTAACTCATGCTTCTTTAGAGAAACTCAAGTTACAACACATTTCAAAATTAAACTTTATACATGCTTAGGAAAATCCAAATGTAGTGCAAATACATCTCAACCTAATATTCATGATTCTCGATCATGATTCCCCCAGATTGCAAGAAGAAAATATTAGATTTTAGAAAAGATTTGAAGCATAAGTATGTCTTTATGTACTAGAAAATAGAATTCCAGGGAGAACCCCTCATCTTCCTCGTGGTGGCCAAAAGTTTCAGTTCTTACCTTTATCTTTGTTAAGAGAATTCAATATTGTTCTACAGTTTGCTCCATGTGCTCCACGACAGGTTAGGGCCATGACCTAGAAACAAGCGTCCTTATTTCATTAAAGAAGCATTATCTAATCTGAATGCACATCTTTGCCTTTGGAATGGTGAAGATGTTTTATTCTAAGAGGTTGAATGTTATGAATTAAACCATATGCCTTTTGAATTGAAGCACATTATGTCTCTAATGCCTTGAACAGGCAACAACAGTAATAATAATGCTCGGAGCAGAAAAAGTCCAAGGACCACAATCTTTAATGATCTGATGTTAAGGCATTAAACTTCCATTCTAATGGAGACAATATACTAATTTTTTATAATAAATGCTCGAGCTTTAAGGTTCTTTGGTGAAAGGCTGATGGTCATTTGAGGTGGCTAAATTATGCTAAAACTAACCAACCAAGAAAATGTGGAAACCATTGCTCATTAACTTGAAACTTAATAATATGGGAAGATTTTCATTTGTCTTTTAGATTTTTTCTGTGCATTACCTTTTAATTATTATGATCATCTATGTAAGAAGGTAATAACTTCTTGCGGATGTTCTTATTTTTCTTAATTACATTTGTAATAGTCTTGAGTAGTTTATGAAATCTGCCCAATTAGCAGAATGGATATTGATTATTCATAAAAGCCGATGACAATAGTTCGGCATTGAGGCGTAATTTGTTGTTATTATTGTTGTAGTTGTTATAATCTTCTGTCTAACATTGAGTAGATTTGGCAAGCTTAATTCTTTCCTTTATAAAGATTTATAACTTTCCCTGTCAGTTTACAGAGCTGATGCACAAAAATTTGAAGAATGGGCTCGTACTCAAAATGCCAATACGCTAGTTGACTTCTCATCCAGAGATGGAGAAGTTGAAAACATTCTGAAAGATATTGCACAGCGAGCTGGAACCAAGAATAGTTTCTGCTACAGTCGACTATTTGCGGTTGGCCTCTTTCGCCTACTTGAGTTGGCAAATGTAACTGATCCGACCATCTTAGAAAAGGTAGATATCATAACTTTCTTCATATTAGATTTTGTATTTTACAAGAACTTCTTCCTGCTCATATCTGTTTACTTTAATTACTTAAATCATCTAGAAACACCAGAAGCACTCAGGCTTCTGTGAACCTGTACAACAACAACAACAACAACATACCCAGTATTATCCCACTCTGCGGGATCTGGGGAGGGTAGTGTGTACGCAGACCTTACCCCTACCTTGTGAGGATAGAGAGACTGTTTCCAATAGACACTCGGCTCAGGAAAGCATAAGCACCACATTAATGAAAATATAGACAAGAAGGGACAGCACCAAAAGCCATATAAAATCAGAATAAAGACAACAAGATAGTAAGGTGATCAACAATGAAAGAAAACAACGATTAGTCATAAAAACCTATTACCAACAGAAAGCGAGACTCTATACTTTATTAGATACAATTTCCGTCCTTGTCTTCTCATTCATGTTTGGGTGCTAGACTCTATACTTTATTAGAGCCAGATTTAGAAAACCTACATTATCATTCTGCCTTATATCAAACAGAGCAAAGGAAATGAATAGAAACCAGTCAGAGAATTGGAGAGAAGTCTTGGGAAAAAGAAGGATCATTTCCTCACTCATTTCTCGTCCTGGCTACACCTTCTACCTTGCCTCAAATTAGACATGTCCAGGCCTCTGATTTAGCATTTCTTGATTGTTAGATAATGATCTTCACGAACAGTTACATCCATCACTAAAGAGGAAAAAGAAAAAGAAAACAAAGAAAAGCTCAAATCTTTTTTCTCATCTTCCACATTATCCTCCATTAAAGATGAAATTCAAGGTCTCTCTGAACGAAAGCAAGCAATTTCCTTAATAGCCCCCATAGTCTAGGCTTCCTCCCATGAGACTGATAATTTTTTTTAACCTGCGGGAGAAAGTAAAAGGTTTCAGTTAACCCTCAATATGTAACAAAAATGAGATTTCCCTGATCTTTGTTGATTATACCACAACTGCTTTTCTTTCCTTCATGAATATGCTGTACGACACGAATGCTAATATGAAAGCTCTCCTTTAGTTTGATTTCCTTGTTATACTCTTCGTATTAAGCTCTTTAGGGTATTTTTCAAGAGATTCGTGCTAGTAAGCAAAAAAGAAGAAAACAATTGAAACTTAAGAAAATCTTGAGTCAAAAGAAGAAAAAGAAAAGAAAAAGTCACTTGTTTGGAATGATGGAATAATAATAGACTTGCTTATGATAGGAGTAACTAGCGTAGCAGGTTCATTGAATGTGCACATAGAGTCGAATCCCCTTTTAGATGTTTATGTTCATGAAACTGCAACGGACTTGGAGGTGAACATATTGTTGACTTGTGAAATTGGCATGGCAGCTTTGTGCTTCACTGAATACAGACAAGAAAAGTGTGGATAGGGACCTTGATGTTTATCGCAATTTGCTCTCCAAGCTGGTTCAGGCTAAAGAGCTGTTGAAGGAATACGTGGAAAGGTTAGAGTTTCTTTCTTGGTTTGACACTCATTCGTATCCTTTCTCTAGCTGTTTTCTGAAAAATATTAAGCTGCTTTCTTCTCTTGCATGCTTCTTGGATGAGCTCTAACGAAGTTTTATTATAATCTGCTTGAAATCCATTATTATTCTCTTATTTTTGCGCTATTTATTTCCCCCCCCCCCCCCCCCC